AAATTCAACTGCTACCTGAATTCCTGCTCAATTCCTGCCAAATTCAACTCCCACCTGAGCTCCCAATTTGCCGTAAATCCCCATAACCGCGTTACCAACACCCCGATATTTATCCCAGATATTTCCCGGCACACCGAGGATGTTTGTTTCTCATTTTTCCCTCTTTCCCTGCTCGTTTCCAGCTCTGCCCTGCCCCATGTCTCCCTTCCACGAGTGCTGCCTGCCCGTGGGCCTGGCGTGCCCCGAGCCCTTCGCCGTGACCCGCAGCGACACCTGCGTCATCAAGTACCCCGACACCGTGGTGGACATCGTGGAGCCCGACTTTCCCCCCTACTCCGTCATCTACCCCGGGCCCACGCTGACCACCTTCCCCCAGCAGACCCTGGTGGGCTCCACGGCCCTGCTGGACATCAGGAGCTTCCTGGGCTCCCAGGGATTCCAGGGGTTCGGGGGTAGGTGCGCTTTGGGCTCAGGTGTGAACGCCTCCTTCCGGGGCGCTCCGGGGAGTTTTAATCCTTTTCCTCCTCACTTATCCCAGTTTTGTTGTGGAACTTGCAGGCCAACCTAAACCCTGCCTGGATATCTGTGGATAGACTGAAAACACAACTGAGCGGTCAGACAGAGCCCGACTAAAGTTTATGGATAATGGATTGTAGAAGTGCCGAGCTCCCGAGGTTCCCATGGAGTCCATAAATCCAGGGACTCCTGGAACTAGACCTGCCCGAGGACTAGAATTTCCAAACTACGAGAAAACTGAAATTTCTCTATTGACTTCATTCCAAATTAGGGCAAACCAAAGCCCAAAATTTTCCAAGAATTAAAAAAAATATATATCTCTTTTTTTTTTTTTTTTTTTTTTTTTTTTTTAAAAGCTTTGTGTCAATAAATTCGTTTTTTTGCCGACATGGATGTTTTATTATAAATTTATCTCAAAATAAAAAAAATTACAAAATCCACCCAAACAATATGACTGAAAATCTTGGGTTCCTAAATTAAATTTTACCCAAATTCCTCCTCATTTGCAAATTTTGTTGAACTGGCATTTTAAAAGAAATAGATAAATCAGCTGTACTTGGCATTTCTGAAAATTAGGAATTTGTAACTCCTTGCTGTGCTTTTTTCCTGCTTAGCCCCACTGTGTACCACTCTCCCAGCTTCTTTTCCTTTCTTTATCTCATTTGATACAAGACAGGGGAAAAAAAACCCACAAAATCAAAATATATACAGATATTGTAAGAGCAAATCTCTCTGCAAAATCCTTCTGCTACAATCTATGAAAATCATGGGAGTGGGGATTTGTTGTGGATCCTCCTGGAATTCTTTGATTTTATCCTTTCCAGCGAGTTTTGCACTTGTAAATTCAGCTTCTCGTTCCCATTAAATGCTGTCATGCAGATGCACTTTTGGATTCTGCTTTTTTAGGATGGTTTGGGGTGGAAGGGACCCCGAAAATCATCCTGTGCCACCCCTGCCATGGGCAGGGACGTTCCCCTGGCCCAGATGGATCCAGCCCGGCCTCGGGCACTCCCAGGGATGGGGAATCCATGGAAGCACCTGGGCCAGGGAAGGATTGATCCCTAAAATCCCATCTAAAGCAGCCCACGGAATTCTGGAATGGTTTGGCATGGGAAGGAACCTTAAATCCCCAAAAATCCCACCCCAGTTCCATGGGCAGGGACCTTCCCCTATCCCAGGTGGTCCCAGCCTGGCCTTGGGCACTCCCAGGGATGGGGAATCCATGGAATAACCTGGGACCCTCACAGGGAGCAATTCCTCCCCAAAATCCCACCCAAACTCCCCCTTTGTCAGTCTGCACCCACCCCCCTGTCCAGTCACTCCAGCTCTGGTGGAAAACTTTCTCCTCCACATTTTCTTTTGAACATTTTTGGTCCCAGAAGTGACTTTGGGACTTTTCCTGAGGTTCAGCACCCCCCACATCAGCATTAACCAACTCACCAAGCAAAACTAATGACATTTTGCCTTTTTCCCAGAGTTCATCCAGCCTGGATTTTGGGGTGAAATGCTGCTGCCTCTGGGTGCCAGGCCCAGCACAAAAATGAAGATTTATTTAATTAATTGAAGCCCTAGGTTGAATTTTCCAGCCGACTCAGGCTGTTCCCCAAAAATAGGACAAAAATCCTGGGCCAAGTGTGTACAGGCAGGAGCTGGGCAATGTCACCCTCCCTGGGGTTAGAACAAGCTGGGCAAGGGTGATCTGCAACCTGTGAAATAAATAAATATAAATATTCTATATTACGGGAAAGGACCATCTGACGTGCAGCTTAAAATGTGAAAGAAATAAATATAAATATTCGATATTATGGGCAAGGACCATCTGCAACATATGAAAGACATAATATAAATATTATCTATTATGGGCAAGGAAAATCTGCAACGTGTGAAAGAGATAAATATAAATATTATATATTATAGGCAAGGATGATCAGCGTAGGGATGTGCACCATAAGATGTGAAAGAAATAAATATAAATATTAAGGATGATGTATGTATTAGCTGATATTTGGTAATAGGTAGGAGTAACGAGTGATCAAGCTGAGAATTAACGAGCTGACGATCCCCCACTGGAATTTCCAGGGAATCACGTTTCCAAAATCCTTCCTCAACCCCCGCCGGGGTGTTCTGTCCACACCAATCCACTTAATTTCCTCTAATCCTCAAAGGAAATGTGCAAATCGGCTTTTTCCACAAACCAGCCCCTTCCCGTGCTGACAGAGGGCTGGAGCGCTGCGCAAACATTAATTATCTCTGTGCACAAGCCTTGCGACACGAAAATTCGGATTTGGACATCCAGATGTTGGGCAACAGCTGCACGAGGATGGGCATTGGGAGCGGCATTTTTCGGGAGGGTTATTTTGGGTTATTTTGGGGCAGGAGCTGGTTTGGGATTTTTAGTGAATCGCTCCGGGGCTGGGTGAAGGAATTGGCGGAAATTCCGAGGTGGGAGCCAAACTTCGCCTCCCTTCAAGGGTGCGGCTGCATCGCCCGGGGTTTCACTGGGAGGAAATTTGGGATATTTGGGGATTTTGAGTGTCTGGACTGGCTCAAAGTCCCCAAATATCCTCCCAGGAAATTTACAGAACATTTACAGATATTTAGAATAAACATTTACAGATATTTAAGAACTGGCAAGAACATTTACAGATATTTAGAATAAACAATATTTTAAAAATACAGATATTTAGAATAAACAACTTTTTTGAAATACATACATTTAGAATAGACAAGTGTACATATATTTAGAATAAATATTTACAGATATTTAGGAACAAACAGGAACATTTACGGATATTTAGAGTAAACAAATCCCAAATCTTTCCCCTATTTTTGCTTTTCCTACACTAAACATCGGGACAAAAAAACCGGGATTAATCAAACCACGCCTTATCACACTCCAAATGCTCAAATATCGGGTGATGACGTCACTCAATTAAACAGAAATCTTCATTAATGACGCTTCGCTAATACTCCAGCCCCCGGGGGATTGAATTTCCATTAAATTGAGCCCGGGGGAAGGTGGGTGGCAGCAGAGGCCGGAATTTGTCACCCCGGGGCCACCCCGGGAGGACCAGGGTGGCTCCGAGCGCTGCCACGCCCAGAGGTTGCTAAAAACAGCCGGCTCCGCCCCCCGCAGCCATTTTTGCATTCCTGTGGTTTATTCCCATTAAACAACCCCGGCTTTCCCTGCCCTAAACCCTCCGGAGAATGTGGGCAGCGGGAGGGGTCCATCCTGCTGGGAAAAATTCCAAAACCGAGTGGGGAAAAATTCCAAAATCATGTGGGAATAATGCCGAAATCGAGTGGGGAAAAATCCCAAAACCGAGAAAGAATAATTTCAAAATCAGGTGGGAATCATTCTAAAACTGAGCGGGAATAATTCTAAAATCAGGTGGGAAAAATTCCAAAATCAAGAGGGAAAAATTCCAAAATTGAGAGGGAAAAATTCCAAAATTGAGAGGGAATAATTCCAAAATCAAGAGGGAATCATTCCAATATCGAGTGGGAAAAATTCCAAAATCAAGTGGGAATAATTCCAAAACCTACAGGACAAAATTCCAAAATCAGGAGGGAATAACTCTAAAATCAGGTGGTAATAATTCCAAAGAACTTTGGAAGGCATTTTCAGGCCCCACATCACAAATCAGGGATGTTCAGGCTTTGACAGCTCGGTTTTTATTTTTACCCATCCATTCCTGCCCTGATGGTGCCAACAGCTCCTCCAGCCCCTTCTCCCAGGCCAAATTATCCCAGGAATGCTCAGGGATCATCCCCGGGGTTGTTTTGTCACAGCCAGGGTGGGGCAGGCCTTGTTTTTATTTTGTAAAATTTGTTTTAATTTTGTTTCAGTTTTAGAATTTTTTTTTATTTGATTTAATTTGTTTTATCTGTTTTTATTTGGTTTTATTTGGATTTGTTTGGTTTTCTTTGGTTTGGTTTTATTTGTTTTTATTACTTTTATTTGTTTTATTGAGTTTTATTTTATTTTATTTGGTTTTATTTAGTCTTCATGTGACAAAGCTGAGGAACACCAAGCCCAGATCGGTCTCTGGGGTTTGGGATGGTGGAATGGGACAGGATTTCAGATCTTCCCAACCCAAACCAGTCTGGGATTCATCCTTGCCTGACTGCAGGAAAATGAGCAGCACCTTGGGCATCCACATTTATAAATCCACTGAATTTCAGGGCAGCACAGAACTTTGGAATTTTGGAATGGTTTGGATTGGAGTAGAGCTCGGAAATCCTCTCCTTCCATGGGCAGGAACGAGAAAAATCAGCTCATTCCATGTTCCCAGGTGGCTCCAGCCTGGCCAGGGGTGGGAAATCCATGGAGTAACCTGGGACCCTCACAGGGAACAATTCCAACCCAAAATCCCACCCAAATTCCCCCCCGACCCCATTCCCGTGTCCTGGCACTGCGGCTCCTGAGGAAAAGTCCCTCTCCAGATTCCCTGGTGCCTTTCCTGGCTCTGGAGTTTTCCTGGGGCAGAAGGAAAGCAGGCGCCCCTTTTATGCCGAAAAAAGAAAAGTTTGGGGCAGCTGAGAGCAGAAAAGTCTCGGGTTTTGTGGGGAAACTGAGGCAGGTTGTGCAATGCCAGCTGGGGCAAGCAGAGGGAGACGCGAAGTCACCAAGGGAGCTCGGATCTGGAGCTCCAGCCAAACACCAAAAAAAAAAAAAAAAAAAAAAAAAAAAAAAAAAAAAAAAAAAAAAAAAAAAAAAAAAAAAAAAAAAAAAAAAAAAAAAAGCAGAAGGGAATTCAGGTGTGCTCTGAGCAGATTTTATATAATTTATATCATTTTATAGCATTTATATAATTATATATTATATATATAATATATATCATTGGATTTGCTTTTCTGCCCTGCCAACCTGGCATTTCCATTTTCTTGCAATTATATACTAGTATATAAATCTATAATATTTATGTATGATGTTTATGTATAATATTCATAGAAAATATTTACATATAGGGTGTCTCATTTGCATATATTTACATAACAACTGTAGAATAAGTATACTGTTTATATCATATTTCTATTTCTTTCTATAATATTTCTATTTATTTGTATGATGTTTGTAATTGTTTTATATATTTATATATATTCTACCTCAGTACAGCTCTGGTCAGCACTTGTAATGGGAGATGTTTTTCTTCTGCCTCCTCCCTTCATTCCCTTTCCTTTTTGCACTCCTCCAACATTTAATTCCCTGAATTTATCCTTTTGTTATTTTTTCAGGATTTGAAATCTGGTTTAATCCCAGTTAGAAGCAAACAAAAAGCAGAAATCCTGGGTCCCCCTGCTGAATTCAGGGGGTTCAGCTGCTCTGCGAAGCCCTGGAAAGACTAAGAAACCCCAGTGAGCCTCAGAATCCCCCACACCTCGGGGTCCTGGCAAGGCTGGACCATCCTAAAAGAAAAAAAATCCCTTTTTTTATCAGCCAAAAAACCTCCAGGAAAGGCTCAGCTCCCGTGACCAGACAGATCTTTTTGGAGCGGAGCATCCCTGCCTCGCACCCGCCCCACGGGCAATATAAATATCGTATTTATCATATATAAATGATACATTAATCGATCCAGGAGCTGCCGTTTGCTCCAGCCCTCCCCAGCGCAGGAAATTGGGATCGGGGAGGATTTCCTGGAGCGGGCTGAGACACCCCGGGCGTGCTCGGGGTTCCACCGACCCCAAACCCCTTCCCTGGGCGGATTTGGGGATCCGCCGCCTCTTGGGCAGCACCCCAAAACCGACCGAGGTCTCTCCCTGCCCTGAGCGGGCCGGGGGTCCCCGCCTGGATTTTGGGGTTCTCCGTCTTTCGCTGCGGAACCCGAGCTCCTGAGAGCGCAGAGCGCGCGGGGAGCGGGGCGTTGATTGCGTTAATTGCGTTAATCACCCGCTGGGCAGCTCCTCCTGCCCGATGGGCGGAATTGCTGCTGACGCGAGCTTTGTGCCGCTGAGCTCCGCGGGCAGAGCCGCTTTGAAGCGGGCACGGCCGGGGCTGCCAAGCTCGGGGAGCAGCGCTCCCACCCCAAATCTTTGCTGCCTTTGATGACTCCTGCGTGAGGCAGCGCTCCTGACTCAGCCGCAGCAGCGAACCCCGCGGCTCCGCAGCCCCGCCGAACCGGTCCGGGCACAAAACCCGAATTAACCGGCGTTCAAGCTGCCCCTGCCCTGCTCAAGGATGTAATTTTCGGCAGCGATTTGGGATGAATGGATATTAAGGCTCTGTGTTGTGGGGTTTGCAGTCTGCCCTCGCTCTTTGTTCCCTTTGTTACTCACGGGGCGGTTTGGGCTGGAAGGGGCCTTAAAACTCGCCCAGTTCCAGCCCTGCCGCGGTGCCGGCTCCTTCCAGCCTGGACTCGGACACTTCTTCCTTTTGGCGGATTTCTCCTCAAAGTTGGGGCTGAACTTTGCATAAATATTCTGGCTCTGAAGGATTTTGGGGCGCTTTCCTGCTCTGCTTTCTGTGCCGGGTAAAGAGTGCAAAAATCAAAGTGGGGGCTTTTCCAAGACTTTTGAATTTATGGAAGAATGAGGGATTTCAGTCTCTTAATTCTGAAAAAAACCCGATTTGGGGGAGTTTTGAGAATGTATTTTCCCAGAAATTCCCTGGAAAAGCTGTGCCAGGGCCTCCCCACTCTCACAAAATTCCTTCCCAGATCCCCCCTAAACCTCCCCTTCCTTCAGCCTGGATCCATCCCTGACTCCAAAATTCCTGACGAACCAAATCCAGGCACTGGAGAAAAACACAAAACGCGGGTGGAAAAGAGAAAATTCCTCACCAGATTTCTGCATTTCGAGGGGTTTGGGGAGGAGTTGATCCCGTTGTGCTCCAGGGACTGATTTTGCCAGCCAGGATTCGGTTCCCGGCTTGGGAATTCCCAAATGCCACAGGGATAAACTGAGGAGAGCTGGAATCCTTTCCGAGGGATGAATTCCACACTTTCTCCTTGTGCTTTAATCCTCCTAGTCTGGAGCAGAAATTTTGGGAAGGGGGAGGAGGTGTTGGAGCAAGAAATTCCAAAAGGTGATAACAAAAACACGGGAGATTTCAGGAGGAAAAGAAAATGGACGGGTTTAGGGCAGGATTTTGGGCTCCTCCTCATAGGCAACGTCCATCCAACCTCGTTAGGATTAAATCCTGGGGGGAAAAATAAACAGGATTCCTCTGCCATGGACGTGATCCCAAAAGGACCCACACGGTCCCAACTCTTCCCTGTTCGCAAAGAAGCCACTGGGAGGATCTTCCCAAAATCTCGGTGCTCTTTTCCCTTTTCACTCCCTCTTCCCTCCGGAGGGAACTTTTGAGCCTGGAAATGCCCACCTTGAGACGAGGTAAAACCATCCCAAGCTTTGTGGCATGCCAGGAATTATTCTGATTTTATGAGGCAGCTCCAGAGATCCCGCAAGGCTTATCGGGAATATTCCGGAGACATCAGAAAATGAGATTTCAAAGAGGATCTCAAAACCTCTGCGAGTTTGTCATCCAGGGAAAACAGTTCCTGGTAATCACGGTAATGACATCTTAGAGGATCCGGGCTGCTGTGAGCTCACAAAGAATAAATTATGGAAAGTGTTCCATCAAACTCCTCATTTTAAACTTCCCCGGTTGGCATAATTCATGAACGGCTTCGTTTTTATTCCAAAGATAACCCCGAGCTTTGCTCTTCAGATTTGCGCCAGATCCTTCCCCTGACTTCAGAGCACATCTGTAAATCCCACCAATATTATGGGAAAGAATCCCTGGTTTGATAAACGAGGCACGGACACGATTCCCTGTGTCAGGTTTTGCTCCCATAAGGAAAATCACCCTGGCACTCCAAGACTCCCCGCGCACTCCAGCTTTTAGCCAAGATAAGCTAAAAAAACCTCATTAATTCTTGCTGCATTCTCACCCCTTAATGAGACCGGGAGGGGAAAAGCAGGAAATTCCGAGATGAAAAGACCTGGCGGATTGCCACCTGCGTTTTTGGGGTTATTGCCCAACGCGGTTTTTAGATAATCATAAACAGCGAGCAAAACAATTCCTGCGGCTCCAGGAGCGATCCGAGCGCCGGGCTGCGCTCCCGAGTCATTAAAGCGCTTTAGCAAAGGCTGGCTCAGCCGCCCCCGGCCACGGGGCAGGATATAAAACCCCTCTGCAGCCGCATCTCCTCCCTGCCTCTCCCGACTCCTCCTCTCCGCCTCTCTGAGTAAGTCTGGGCTCTAAACCCCTCCAGTTTCCCTCTGCTCTTGCGTGGATTTCTCCTCAAAATCGGGGCTGCAGGAGTTCTGGTTCTGAGGGATTTAGGGGCGCTGTCCTGCTGGTGCTTTCCGTGCTGGGAGAAGGGTGCCAAAATCAAAGCGGGGCTTTCCCGGGGTTTGGAATTTAAGGGAGAATGAGGGGTTCAGTCTCTTGATCCTACAGAAATATTTGGGAAAGTTTCAGGAATTGATTTAACATTGCCTTTCGTTGTGAGGCGCGATCAGGGCGGTGGGATTCATGGAAAACTCTGGAAAATCCGGCTTGGAAGTGAGCTCGGTGCAGCTCTGCTGCTGCTTGGATCAGCTCATCCTTAATTTAATTGGAGCCACTACACCAAGCGATTATTATGGACTATTAACGTAACTGTGCCAATAACTTTCATTTCTGACTCTTAAAACTCATTTACAATCCTAAAGCGCTTTCACAGAGATTAAATTCAGCATTTCTCTAGGTCAGTGCTGCGTTCTAACTTGAGGGAATTTGGAGGAAAATGCCCTGCATGGGTTTTTTAATAATCAAAAAGATAAATTTCATTTACAACCTTAAAAAAATATTCTGATGCTGCACCAGCATTTTATGTGAGAATTTAACCTGAAGAAACAAATATTACTTAATTAATTTTCCCTAGGTGAAAATGTAATTTTCTTATTTGGCTTGACTATATCACTACAGAAATATTTTAATATATATCTTATTTTATATAAATATTTTAATTATACGTTTCATTAATTAAACGAGCACTTAACACTCCCACTTATTCTCAGCCTTTTGCTTTTCCCACCCTGTGTTTTAGCAGAATACTTTCCTGCCTGAAAACAGCAGGAATCTGCAAGGAAAGTAATAAAAATTTAAGCAGGGTGCTAAGGTGATTATCCCACGCTGAAATACGTGGAAATTCCGGGTGTTTTTTGTTTTTTGTTTTTTCCCCGCGTGGGAGGAACAGAGGCGCTGTGGGAACCAGTTCGAGCGCGTCCTCGGGAATTCCTCCAAAGGGCCGGGAGGGTTCGGGGCAGGGCCGGGGCTCGGAGGTGGTGGAAGGAAAGAGGAGGAGTTCTGCTCCCGTGGAAGAGGAGAAAAGGAAAATATAACAGGAATTCAGAGCAAATCGGGGCGGGGAAGTTAAAGTGGGAGATAAAACTATACATAGATTACCTCCCAGGATCTCTTAAAGACAAATGTCAATAGAGGAGAGATCAATTCTCGTTTTTATCTCGGTTATCCCTAACAAGATCCTAAAAGGAAATGTCAATAGCCAAGAGAGCAATTCTGGTTTTTATCTCAGTTATTTCTGACAAGGTCTTAGAGCCAAAGGTCAGCAAACAAGCGATCGGCTCTTGTTCTTACCCGAGTTATCTCTTAGAATGTCAATAACCGGGTGCTCTGCTCTTGTCTTTTCCCGAGTTTGGAGCTCAGTATCCTTTTAGAGAGATCTCGATGATCTCTAAAAACCCCTTAGAGTCAAATGCCAATAAACCAGCGCTCGGCTCGTGTCTTGAAATCGATTATCTCTAAGGACCCTTAGAGCCAAATGCCAATAAACAAGAGCTCCAGTTGTTTCTATCCCAATTTCCACTGATGATCTTTTAGACCCAAATTCCAATAAACAGCGCTTCATTTCTGTCTCTATCCCAGTTTCCTCTGATGATCTTTTAGACCCAAACGCCAATAAACCCGCGCTCCATTTCTGTCTCTATCCCAATTTCCACTGATGATCTTTTAGACCCAAACGCCAATAAACCCGCGCTCCATTTCTGTTTCTATCCCAATTTCCACTGATGATCTTTTAGACCCAAATGCCAATAAACAGCGCTCCATTTTCTGTTTCTATCCCAATTTCCACTGATGATCTTTTAGACCCAAACGCCAATAAACCCGCGCTCCATTTCTGTTTCTATCCCAGTTTCCTCTGATGATCTTTTAGACCCAAACGCCAATAAACCCGCGCTTCATTTCTGTCTCTATCCCAATTTCCACTGATGATCTTTTAGACCCAAACGCCGGCAGCCAAGAGCTGCCAGGAGCCGTTCGTTTCGCTTTTGGAGCTTTGTCTGTTTTTTTTCACCCCGCAGGCTCTCCCCCAGCACCGCCGGGCGATGGCTTCCACCCAGCTGGCCTGTCCCCCTCCCTGCGAGCCCAAGTGTCCGCAGCCGCTGGCCAGCAGCACCAACGAGCCCTGCGTGGTGGCCTGCGGCGACTCGCGGGTCATCATCTACCCCCCGCCCGTGGTGGTCACCTTCCCGGGGCCCATCCTCACCACGTACCCGCAGCAAACCGTGGTGGGAGCCTCGGAGCCCTCGGAGGTGGCCCTGGGCGAGCCGCCGGCCGCGGCCGCGCTGCCCGCCGAGGTCGCGGCCAGGCTGGAGGCGGCGGGGGACAAAGCGGCGGCGCCGGTGCTGGCCCGTGCCGAGCCGCGCTGCGCCCCCAAATACTCCTACAGCTACTCCTCGCAATGGACTCACCCCTGCAATTCCTACCGCTCCGGGAAGCGCTGGGCGTGCTGAGCGCCGGGACGGGCAGCAGGGGAAACTCCGGGTGAAATGCGAGCTGCCGCTCGCGGGGCAGCTGCGGCGGCGGCCCCGGGGCTGCTCCGGCTCCTCCCGAGAGCCGCGGGAGCTCAGCCCCGGGGCAGGCGGGCTCGTGGTGCGATTCCTCGGTTTGTTTTCCCTTAGTTTAGAGCTGTTCTCCCGCAGCTTTGCAGCGCAGTCGTCTGCTTCCGCCGTGCTTTGGCTTATCCCGGATTTTTTTACTGGCACTGAGCTTAGAGAGGTGACTTGAAATGCTCGGAATTGTACGGGCAACGCTGCCAAAAAGGGAAATTCCCCATTTTCACAGGCGGCATCACGGATGCTGGTGATTTGCCAGAGCCTCGCTGAACCTCTGGAACGATGCTCTTTGTTTCCTGTACAGTTTTGTTCCACAGTTGTAGGAAAGCTTCACTTTCCAAATAAATTTTCTCTAACGAAATACATTTTCTGTTTTCCTTTATCACATTTTAAAAAATAAATAAAATAAAAAGGGGAGGTTTGGGTGGGAGATCAGGGAAAATTTCCCCCAGAGGGCGCTGGGCACTGCCCAAACTCCCCAGGGAATGGGCACGGCCCAAGGGCTACCAGAGCTCCAGGAATGTTTGGAAAACAACTTCAGGGAGAGAAGAGAGCCCAGAGGAGGCTCCAGGACGGATCTGAGGGATGGAGCAGCTCTGCTGGGAGAGCTGGGAATGTTCACCCTCGAGAAGCTTTGGGGTGACTCAATTGTGGCCTTGCAGGACCTGAAGGGGCTTTGAGGACCAAGGGGAGAGACAATTCCCAAGGGATGGGGTGCCAGGACAAGGGAGAATGGGCTCAGACCCGTGGAGAGGGGTTTAGGTGGAACACGGGGCAAGAATTGTCCCCGGCAAGGATGGAGAGCCCCTGGGATAGATTTCCCAGAGAGGCTGGGGCTGCCCCTTCTCTGGCAGTGTCCAAGGCCAGGTTGGACAGGGCTTGGAGCACCCTGGGACAGTGGAAAGTGTCCCAGCCCATAGCACGGGGTGGAACAAGATGAGTTCTAAGGTCCCTCCCAACACAAACCATCCTGTGATTCCACAATGGGACATTCCACACCATCACTCAGTTGGAGAATCATTTACAGCCAGGATGAAGAAATCCATACCAAAAGAAATAGTTTGTGCAATGCAGATTTTTATTGTGGATGCAAAGGCCACAGGCGGTGTCAGCGAGAGACAAACCAGCAGCAAGGCGTTGGAAACACGACAATCCCAGGGCAGCGGCGAGGCCCAGCCCAGGGCTGTGGTGCAGAGGTTGCCCCTGCCCAGGGCGAGCTGGGGGCTCGGAGCGGGGCAGAGCAGGGCAGAGCCTCAGCCCGGGCTCGGCACGGCTGGCGGGGCTGGCAGAGAGAGGACAGCTTTTGGGGGCAGCGCGGGGAGCCCCGAAGGCGCCGGCCGAGGCTCCGCAGGGGCACCGGGCAGTGCCGGGGACGCTGCAGCTCCCGGGGCTGCCGGGCCGGCCCCGAGCAGCGGCGGCAGCTCCAGCCCGGCCCCGGCGGCACGGGGCAGCGGGGGCAGCTGGAGGAGCCCGCGGGCAGGGGCAGCGCTGAACCCCGCCGGGATTCGGGCTTTAGCAGGGCCCACAGGAGCCCCCCAGGGACCTGGAACCGCGGCCACAGATCCCAGAGCCCCCGAAACCCCCAAAGCCGCCGTAACCCCCAAAACCTCCGTAGCCCCCAAAGCCCCCGTAGCCCCCAAGGGCCCCGTAGCCCCCACGGCTGCCAAAGGCGCCCCCGGAGCCGGCTCCCACGTAGGGAGCTCCGGCCGAGCCCACGGCGCTCTGCTGCGGGAAGGAGCTGAGGATGGGCCCGGGGAAGGTGACCACCGAGGCCGGGGGCTGGATGACCACCGTGGAGTCGGGGCACTGCCGCACGCAGGGCTCGTTGGTGGTGTCAGCCACGGGGGCCGGGGTGGCCACCCCGCAGCTGGGGACACACAGGCTGGAGCAGGACATCCTTCGGCTCGGCTGGCAGAGCTGCAAGACAAGGCACAGCCACGGCTCACGCTGAGGACTTGGTCCAAACCCCACTGCTCTCGCCCACCCACTCCCCGTGGCCCAGGACTCGCTCGGGATCATCCCTGGCCTTCCCAGGAAAGCCCTGGCACGGCTGGCACGGCTCCTGCAATGCCCAGCTGCCTGTGGCAATGAAGGAAAACTCCCTCACCCAAAGCGCCAGGCTCCCGAGGCCTGGAGCCCATGGTGGAACCCCGAGCCCCCCAAGCCTGCCCTGGCACAGCCGCGGCAGCGCGGGCACAGAGACCCCTCGGGAAATGCGCGGCAAAGGTTCCCTGGGAAGGAGAGAGGAGCGAGGGAGGACGCAGGGAAGGCTCGGACTCACCACAGCGATCAATGAGCAGAGTCAAGTGGGGAGAGCTGGATGGAGCCCTGTGGAGTCCTCGGACCTTTTATACACCCCAGAGTGCCTGGGGCACCGTCAGGGGGGTGATGACTGGAGCCCCAGCGAACCATGGAATCAAGCGGACAAACCTCATGACACAAACTGAATCGTGGGATAATTGCATCCATCCTAATTGGTGCTAGGAACGAGTAAAAGTGCCCTGGAGAGCCACCAGGCCCTGAAGGGACAGACTGTGACCAATCGCTGTGTGTAAGATCGTTTTTTGCTGAAGCCAAGCTCACAGCTCCAATAAACCTTGATTTGTCACTAATCCCCCACTTTGCTCATGCACAGGAGTTTTGAGAATCTCTCAGGAGCACTTTGAAAGGCTGGGCACAGCCGGTACATCTGTCATTAATTCCCTTTTACGAGCTGCTAAATAGGGACGCCGGGAGGGAGAAGCCATCCCACCCACTCGGAGCACATCCCAAACGCCAAACGTGGCAGGAGCAGAGTCCCGGAGTGGGGGAACACAGGGGGACAGCAGCCCCCATCTCCACCCCAGGGGGGTCACCCCACCCGGCACAGGGCTGGGTACAGAGAGCTCTGGGAGGCAGAATCACTAAGAGACATTTTGTGCCGATGGGGGATTTGTTAAACCCCTGATTCCCCTGATGGTGGTGTGAAAAGAGGGGGAGATCCCGTGCCAGATGAATCTTCAACAAAGATCCACCTCAGCATGGATGTAGGCATGACACAGGTGGGACCAGGAGTTGGATTAACAAGGGGACACAAAAAGAGAGGAGCAAGGAAAGCAGAGAAAGGACCAAGAACCCCTCCGACCTTCCAGCCTGGGCCGAGTGCACCTCTGATTGCCCAGCTGACCCCAAGGGATGCCCAGGGGCAGTAGGCCGAGCCCCCCCGAGCCAGTCTGGCCCTGGCCTGGCCCAGGACAGGCCCAGCTGGGCACGGCTGGCTCAAGGGCACGGTGGCACTGGGGCTTGGGCTGGCAGGGCTGGGCACGGTAGTGTCCAAAAGGAGGTTTGGGATGCTTTGTCAGCAAGGTGAGGGATTAGGGACAGAGCAGGGTTTATTGTTGGGCTGAGCTCCAGCAGCACCGTGCCTGTCACGTAATGATGGGCCACGGCCGTCCCTGCAAGCGCCTCTCTCTTGTCCACTCATGTTCACACCAATGTCCACAATGGGGGGATGACAGAATTTGTCCGCGTCCCCTCAATTTATGACAGAATTTGTCCGCGTCCCCTCAATTTATGAAGTTTCTCAGCGTGAATGCATAATTACTGGAGGGGGGGTCTGCCCGCACCCCCTTTCCTGAAGCCCCAGGCTCTCTGGGCTGTATAAAAGGCCCGAGCTCCTTGCACAGCTCCATCCACACTCCTGCACTTGACTCCTCTCATCACCCGGGTAAGTGCAGCTCTCCGAAGGCTCTCGGGGATCTCTCTCAGCACAACTCCTCCCTCACACCTTTGCCTCTTTCCCGGGTGTTTTCCAGAAGCCTTTACCAGTCTCCAGGATGTCCTGCGGAATCCCCAGCTGCGGCGTGGCCTCCCCGGCCCCTCTGGCTGACACCTGCAACCAGCCCTGCGTGCGGCAGTGCCCCGACTCCACGGTGGTCATCCAGCCCCCGGCCTCGGTGGTCACCTTCCCCGGGCCCATCCTCAGCTCCTTCCCGCAGCAGAGCGCCGTGGGCTCGGCCGGAGCTCCCTACGTCGGAGGCGGCTTCGGCGGCTCCTCCGGACGCCGTGGGGGCTCCGGCGGCTCCGGGGGCTTTGGGGGATTCGGAGGTTTCGGGGGATTCGGAGGTTCTGGGGGATTCGGAGGTTTTGGAGGCAGCTGCGGCGGCTCCAGAGGCTGCGGGCCCTGCTAAGCTCCAGCCCTGCCCAGAGCCGGGAGAGCTCCAGCAACGCCCCCGGCCCATCCCCGCTCGATGAGGACCGACTGAAGGACAGACCGACAGACATCCCCCGGCTCGCCCCGCCGCCTTCCAGCCGCGCTCGGAGCCCCGCAGCGATCGCTGCGCGCTCCCGGCACGGCCCCAGCTCGGCTGCCGCTCTGCCCGCGGCCGGGACACGCGGGGAGCCCCCGGCCCGGGCCCCGCTCCGCTGCCGACGCCCCTGCCCCGCACGGCAATAAAAGCTGGCTCGCACTGCAAGGCTCTCCGGCTCCCGACTGCTCTTTGCTCCGCACCCGTTCCCAGCCCGGGCCGTTCCCCAGCGGGCTCCGGCCAGCCCCGCTCGGACACGGCACACGAGGAGCCCCGGCACTGCCCGGGCTCCTCCTGCCCGTCCTGGGGCAGCCCAGCCCCGCAGCAGAGACCCCCGACCCGGAGCCCGCCCGGCCCTGCGCCGGGGCCTCTCCGTGTCCCTGCCCGGCTCCTGCCCGCTCCGGGCTCCTCTCGGCAGCCCCACAGCAGCCCCGGGCCCCACCGCCAGCCCCCTGCCCGTGGGACGCCGCCCGAGGGCCCCGGAGCCCCGGGGCGCCGGGACTGCCCGGGGGCGAGCGGAGCCCCCGAGGGAGCCGGCCCCGCTCGGGGCTCCGCTGGGAGAGCGAGAACAGCCCCGGCACCGCTCCCGCTGCCCCCGCATCCCTCCGACATCCCCGCCCCGCCACCGCCTCCTGCTCCCGCTGCTCCCGGCCATTCCCCCGCGGCTCCTCGCAGCGCTGCCGGCCCCGCCGCGCCCCCGCGGCGGCTGCGGGACCCCTCCGGGCACCCCCGGCCTCGCCCACCCCTCGCCAGGGACACGGCTCTGCCCAGAGCCGCAGCAGAACTTCCCGCAGCCCCGGGC